TCCAACAGAGAATTCTATACATGTCAAATTATCAAGCAGGTGGAAATGTAAAACAAAGATATTTACTGATGTACAACATCTCAAATTTATTTGTCACATACCCTTTCTCAAAACATAACTGGTAGTCGTGTTCCAACAAAATGAGAAAGTAAACTAAGAAAGAAGAATATATAAAATGTAAGAAGCAATGCCTTCAACCAAAGAGAACAGTGAAGAGAATGTCCAGGGTAATGGGGAAGGAAGAATCCAGGTTAACCACTGCATTCGAAGAGAGAGGGAAACTGGTTTAGATCAGGACATATCAAAACATTTGTGCCCAAGGACAGCACAAGGCACCATATTTGTAACCATCCATCCATTCAGAGGGAACAGGTAGATACGGATAAGGTCAACCAAACCATCATTTTATTGATGTTATCCACACTAAAGATGGCATATGGCTGCAACTGAAAGATGAGACCATAAAGAAGTATGTTTCGGCTTGGCGCAGTGGCTCTCACCTGTAATCCCAGCACTTTGGGAGGCCAAGGCAGGTGGATCACTTGAGGTCAGGACTTTGAGACCAGTCTGGCCAACATGGTGAAACCCCACCTTTACCAAAAATAGAAAAATTAGCTGGGCATGGTAGTGGGTACCTGTAATCCTAGCTACTTGTGAGGCTGAGGCAGGAGAGTTGCTTGAACCTGGGAGGCGGAGGTTGCAATGAGCTGAGATTGCGCCACTGCACTGCACTCCAACATGGGTGACAGAGTGAAACTCCATCTCAAAAAAAAAAAAAAAAAAAAGAGAGAGAGAGAGAAATATGTTTCTAGTAAGGTTTTCAATAAAGCCTGACATCACTGTCTTACTGAACTTCTTGACAAGAGCCTTCTGGTCCTCATCAACTTCAATGCCAATTATACATAAATCTATCCAAATAATTCAGATTTTTAGATATTTATGTGTGTGTTAATGCATGTATACATACAAACACTTGCCTATTCATAGAATATCTCTGGTACACTGAAATCTCAGCCTTTACCTCTGTACAATTCATCCATATAACCGAAAAACACTTGTACCCCAAAAGCTATTGAAATAAAAACAAACAATAGTATCTCTGGAAAGATACACGACAAATCCACAATGTACACTTTCCTCCTAGGGAAAGCAACTGGGCCAGCAGGATTAAAGAGGTATGAGGAAGACTCACTTTTTTCAGTAGTTATCTTTTTGCCTCTTTTGATTTCTCAAATACAGACTTATTAAACAAATAAGACAAAATTATTTTACCCACAAAATAATAATAAGGTGCATTAAGGTGCATTATCTGCTATTTCCATCTCCCCATCAAGCTCTTCATTTTGCTTACCCACACACTTGTTTTTAACACTTTTCTTCATTTAGCTCACTATTTCATTTTTTGCCTAATTATCTTGTAGGAAGAATAGGGAAATCTATCTTTTCATTTCACTTGTGAGGCAAAAAAAGTATCCTAATTATGTCTGATCTGCCTAAGAGTAGTGTTAATATTTCCATATCAAGGAACAGTAAATTCACCAGTTCTGAAAGAAAATTAACCATAATAAGAAGTCATTGCCACCACCAGTTTCTAAAGACCTTGCCTTAAAGGCTCAGAAAATTCAAATTTTTAAAGTAAATTCTCATGTATCTCTTCTTTTACTTTAATTAAGACTACTTTATGCATCGGATTTAAAGATTTAGAAACTCTTATTCAATTTGTTTTTAGTTTCGTTTAATTTCCATACTGCAACAGCATTGCTTCCATGTTTTCATCCAGTTTCCTGATTTAGTCTACATCATGTCTGCAGTAGAGTGAGATAACTGTTACGCTTGGTGCTCAGGCAAGCCCTTCCCAGAAACGAGTCAGGAGTTAGAGACCTACCTACCAGAACAATGTGAACAATTAATAAAGCACCCAAAAACAGTCTTTAGGAAGAAATTGCAACGAGCAGATGGGCACAACCTCTGCAGCCTGGAAGGAAGGAATGATCAGATGCCCCATTTGGTGTTGATAACGAAAAGGCTCCACAAAGAGCGGCAAACAAGTGGCCCCATGGGACATCGAGAACCAACATCCAGGAGTTTGGCAGTGGCAGCAAAGAGAGAAGTAAAACAGGACACAAAGCAAGTAAGACCCAGATAGAGATTACACCAGTAACTGGGATGTAAGAAAAGAACCAGCTCACTGGGGATATGGTAAGAGCCACTAACAAGTTCTGATCGAGTAAAACTCTGATCTGAAATCAATACACTCCTGAAACATGGCTCCTTAAGTTCTCCTTGAACAAAGAGACTTTAAGAAGAGCCTATTTTAGGAAGAGGGAAAGAGATTGAAAGATTGGAATTAAGTTGTCTTAGTCTAAGAACTTGAAGTAGGGATTGTGAATAGGGGTCATGGAAGCCAGGCAGGTATCACCAGCCTGGAGACATAATCACCATTTATATTCTGTGTTACATATAGACAGATGTGTTCTACATTTCAACTTAACAAAGTCATCTTTGAAAACATAAACTGTTCAAGTTAGAAATTACTTACATCTAGGTAGTAGTTGCTCTTTTACCATCTGCAATGAGTTATATCTTAAGAGCTGCTAAATAGTTGTGCTGGGATGTTTTTGGTGGTTGCAATAACTGGGGTGTGCTCCTGGCACTTACGGCGTAGGGTCCAGTGATTGTAAAAGTCCTTCAATAAGGTAGACAGACTTGCACATACACACAAAATGTCCCCCCGCCACACACGCAAAATGCCAAGAGCATCCCTATTGAGATATACCCATTGTTCCACTTCACTAGTGTGCTTCCCATGTGTGAATGCAGCACTGTGAGATTTCAAAGCTTCCATTAGAGACCTTAAAAGTTCTATTCTCGGGGAGGGTAGTGGAAAAAACCAAGAACAAGTAATAACAACAACAAAAGTATTCTCTGATTGGGCATGGTAGTTCACGCCTGTAATCCTAGCACTTTGGGAGGCCAAGGCGGGCAGATCCCCCGAGGTCAGGAGTTTGAGACCAGCCTGACCAACATGGAGAAACTCTAATAAAAATACAAAAATTAGCTGGGCATGGTGGCTGGCACCTGTAATCCCAGTTACTTGGGAGCCTGAGGCAGGAGAACTGCTTGAACACAAGAGGCGGAGGTTGCAGTGAGCCGAGATCATGCACTCCAACCTGGAGGGAGAGACTGTCAAAAAAAAAGGCCGGGCGCGATGGCTCACGCCTGTAATCCCAGCACTTTGGGAGACCGAGGCGGGCAGATCATGAGGTCAGGAGATTGAGACCATCCTAGCTAACATGGTGAAACCCTGTCTCTACTAAACAATACAAAAAATTAGCCGCGTGTGGTGGCTGGCGCCTGTAGTCCCAGCTACTCAGGAGGCTGAGGCAGAAGAATGGCATGAACCCAGGAGGTGGAGCTTGCAGTGAGCCGAGATTGCACCACTGCACTCCATCCTGGGCGACAGAGCAAGACTCTGTCTCAAAACAAAAAAACAAAAACAAAAATTCTTTACCTAAATTCATTGTTGACAGTTTTTTAAATATGGAGGGAACATCAGGTTAGGTTTGTAGACATGTCTTTCATAAACATTTTACCTAATTACGATAAACATGTTAGAATTAGTTCAGAATTATCACGTAAAAGACTACATAAGAGAAATCACTTGCTAATGTTTTTTCTGAATAGCAAGGAAACATATGGGTGAGAGAATCTAAGCCATTCTCAAAGTAATAAACTCACTCTAGGGAACAAAAATCAATTAAAGCAAATCTGCCATCGATCTTAAATTTGACAAATCACCTCTCAGCTTTGCAACAGGTAGCTGTTGTAGGTTAATATTCAATCAAGGCACTGAAGGAAGCATCTTCAAAATAACTTCCTTGTCATTACCCTCAAGAGAGACTTGTTTATCAGAAGGTCACCTTCAGTTTTTAAAACAAGAGGACATATGTTCTGTGATTCTAGGGAGTGCTTGAGTTCCAGGGACCAGGAGATTAGAATGAACTTTTCACCTAGTTCAGCTCATTAAATTCAATGGAAGTGCTGTCTGTACAACGGAATAACGACACCCATAAATCTGCAGTCAGCTGTGGATTTACTAAGACGCATTCACACATGAGGCTTCTCTACACATTTACCTTAGCGTAAAGTACATCATCAAGGCCCCTGGTGTTGTGCCTAACCACCCTTTAGACAAAGGCATTTCTACAAAGTGCCTTTAGAGCACACCTACTTCAGTAATGTTGCACACACACACGCGGAATGCATGGACTGGTAAATCAAATCTGTCTTGCAGGTGGAGCTTTCACACTTCGGGGTGATGTAAATTAGTTTCTGATGGGAAAATGTGATTCACATTTTATAGAATTCGGTCAGCCAAATTTAAAGAGCAGAATTTTTTTATGTCACCCTTGGCAGACCAAAAGATAGACAATCTGGTTGTCCTTCCGACAGCACGCTCCAAACCTACCCCTTGCCCCCCACCCACCAGCTACCCTACATACACACCACCCATATAAGCTCAATCCACCTTCCTGGTACATGTCAAATTCAATTTCTCTCTCCTTTTCTGGGTCCTGTGGTTCTTGTTTTCTCTAACACACATTTGGCACATGTTACTCTCTGTTACTGATTTTGTTAAAACAAGTTTCATGTTTTCATTGGTCATATATATGCCATGTGCACAACTTGCACATAGCATAACCCTGTGCAGAGTAAGCACACAGGTACTTATTAATAGGGGTATGTTCTTATCAACTTAACATCTAAAAAGCAATTTTCTTGAATTCATTTTATTAATACCTATCTCAGTGATTATTTTAAATAGGCTGATCAGACAGCTACCTAGGCAGGAGATTTGAAAGTGACCAAAAGTCCTGGTCTGGATAAAAATATCTTCCTTGGGTTACTGGTTTTCTTTCTTCCAGTCTGAAATTTCCCATTAATGGGTTAAAATACCAAAATGAGGACATAATTTCTAAAATTATCAAACAGTATCAGGAAACTGTATTTTCTTACATAAAAACAAGGAATGCATATAATCGTTTATCATTCAGTAGAAGTACAAATATGCTACAAAGAGGAGGATATTTTCATTGGGAAGAGATCTGTGGAGAGAATCAGCCAGAGCCTAGAAGTATGGGAGTAGAATGATTTTGCCTTTTAGTTTGTCCAAGACAGTCTCAATATACTCCAGCTATTCTGGAATAATTACTCATGAAGCTCCCTTTCACTCTCCCAAGTGTCTCAGTCTGGGTGATAAATTACAATTATTTCATGGATGAAGATCTTGTGCTGAGACCTGGGCCCAGTTCTTGAGCACATTAGCTTCTGGAAGGTAGTGGAGAGAAATTATTGTAAAAGCTGGAACTAGAATTTGCTTCTCCTGACTCCCAATCAGTGCTCTCTTTTTCTAGACAGGCTTTTATAACAACACTGTTATTGTTCCTGTCTCCTCTAGGCTCCTTTTGTCTTCTCAAAAAGGTTTGAAGAACTTTGATGATTGATGTCATCTCTGGTCATTCTTTCACTTGTCTCAAGCCTCAAGAATCATGCTAAAACAAAAAAGTAGTCATTCAAGATATGTTTACTAAAGGACTGATTACCTTCTACAGTAATAAAGGGAGTGACGTGCTGCAATTTTATGTTCTGAAGTTCCTGACATTTGTCAGGCATAAAACTGAGAGTTTCACAACCTGAAAAATTGATTTTTACATTTTTTTCCTCCAGCTTATTAACTTTATCTTCTCTTCCATCACAACTACCAGCTTCAGATTTCTTTGTAGATTTACTTTTATAATCTACAAAGATATTGTCTGCATATATAACAAGTCAACTGAGATGTAGTTGCTGGGTGGCAAGCATGGCATATTCATCAGCCAAAAGGGTGTCACTTGCATACCATCCTAAAAACCCATGACTCCAAAATGGCCCTCAACACATTGATAAAATGTGAGAGACGTGAACTTTGGGGCAAGTAGCATTGTGTTGTGCAAATCTAGGTTGCCACTCAAGTGATGTATTCAAAAACAGCAGTTCTGCTCTGGCCTTCCATTAGTCAAAATGACAAATTTAAATTTGTGAATTTTAAGTGCTCATTAGATGTTAAAAATGCAAGTTATAATAAGCAAATTTGTAAGTGTTTTTTTGGTTCGCTGTTGGTTCTGTCTGAATTCAAAGTTAAAAGATTTTCCTTCTCCCCACAATATCATTTTTTAACTGTCCAAAATCAAGCTTCATTCAAGCTTTAATATCAACTTTATGATAAAGAAAGGAAAGGAAATCATCTGGGATAGATGCCAGGTCTACTGATCTAATTTTATCACCTACCAAAGGACAGACAGATTTTGATGGATCTGTTTACACGCATCTAGTCATATAACATAATGATCACGTTGTACTAACCTGGCACTTCTGCACTCTTACTGCTGTGAACTGGCATAGAATTCCTTGGTATTTATCACAGCCAGGTTTCTAAGAAAAGGATTAAAATGGAAATACATTTTATTTGAACCAGGTTTAGTTTTTGATTAAACTTAATTTTATGATTCAGAATGTTGCTTTTTATGATTGTTAAAAATGACCAAAAATGTTTAAGCATACATTTGGGTTAAATATAAAAATGAATCCAAAAATGAAGCTGGCACAACTCACCATAGATCCAATGATTCACACGATACATGTCCCTCAATGGAGGTGAAACAGGTAGTTAATGCACGACAGCTTGGTGATTGTTGATACCTCCTGGTATATGACAAGCCTTTTTTAAAAAAAAAATTTGCTACATCAAACTCTCTTCACAGGATTTCATAGAGAAAAAAATATACCCAGCTGTTTAAAAAAAGCGAAATACTTAACTGACAGCATGATCATCAGTGGAAGCCATGGAATATTCAGTTGTCGGGGATTCTCAAGGGCAGATTTTGCAGCTTGTGAAATCCTTACTCATTAAGTGCTTGATTCAAAAACAGGGCTTTCATCTTTAGAGTTGGAACTTCATCTCATGAATGCTGACATCCCATGGGCAATTACAAAAGTATTTACTGAAAGTTGCTAATAGAAAAATAATTACAAAAAAAAAAAAAGATGAGCTACCACTTAATCCCCTGAAGGAAGACAGCTGGATTTATTGGCTGTGCCAAGTGGCATCTTGAAGTGATTAGATAATTCTATACCAAAAATGCCCTAAAAGAGGAAAAAAGTAGACTTTGGGTCTTCACGGTACAAATAGGCTCTCTAAATATCAGGGGAGCACTTTCTTCTGACTGAGTAGACATCACTTGTCTATACACATACTTCTGCTTTTACAGACCATGTTTCCTTAAGTACTTCCTAATTAAGGCTTACAGATAAGATTCTGCCCAAATTAACCAGAGTTGTCTACATGAGTTGCTTTGTTTATTTGTTTTAAATTGCACATTATTTTAAAAGGTATTTCCATTTTAATCTTTGAAATAATTTTAGATTTCCAGGAAAGTTACAAAGATAGTACAGAGTATTCCCACATACCCTTCTCCCAGCTTCCCATGATGTTATAAAACCATACTGCATTTTTGAAAATTAAGAAATTAATATTAGCACAATACTAAACAATACTAAACTACAGACTTTATTCATATTTCACCACTTTTCCCACTCATGTTGTTTGCTATTCTAGGATCCAATCCAGGATATCCCAAAGCATTTCGTCACCAGATCTCTCCATTCTTCTCTGATCTATGACAGTTTTCTAGTCTTGTCTTGTTTTGGGGGATCTTGACACTTTTGAAGAGTATTGGACATTTTGTAGAATGCTCCTCAATTTGGATTGTCTGATATTTTCTCATTAGACTGAAGTTACAAATTTTGACGAAAAATACTAAAGAGGTGAGGTACCCTTCTCATAACACCCCTGAGCTGTTTTCTTAATTTATTCTTAATTTTCTAATTTTTTTGGCATATATGAAGGAAACCTCTGAGCTGTTTTTGAGCAAGGACTAAGATGGCAAAAAGTTGTATGTAAACTCTTATACGAAGATGTAATCGCTTATAAGTAAATAACTTGACAAGTTGCTGAAACATGAAAACTAGCATCGAGTTCCAGGTTCTAAACCTGGATCTGTTTGCTTTAGAGATTTCAACCAAAGCATCCCACCCAAAATGTTTTGAATTACAATTAGTTACCAGGTCTTCAAAGAAATTTCGTATTAATAATAAAGTACTAAAGCCTATACTTGATTAGCTTTATTTATAAGTTTGAATAAATGTAAGAACATCCCCATAATAGAAGTACTCTTTCTGATTTGTATCAATATGCTGCATGGGGTGGGAGAAAAAGGGGTAGAGGTATACCTAATATGCTCATAAAAACAGCACATATGTGGAACATAGTTTGCCACATATACAAATACTAGTATATTATGAGCTTATTTTTTACAAATACATTGACAATCAATGCTTTAGACTAGTAGTCTCAAAAAATTTTTGTCTTATTCCCTTTCATAAAGATGTTTTAGTATACATCTTGCATAGCCTGGTTTCTTCCTCAAAAAACAAGAGTCTAAGACAGTGGCTTCCATACAGGGAGTTTATTTGCAGGAATAATCCCACCAAGGAGAACAGGAGAGTAGGGGCTGGAAAAGGGAAAACAGGGAAGGTCAGAGGCCAATTCAAAGGGGACATAATTGGGCTAGTTACTATTAAGGGCCAATAAGGGCCAATGAGGTCCCTCCAAAGAGCCATGTAGAATACACTTTAGAACTGTTCTTCTAGGACATGGGAAAGGTAAGTATTTATCCATTGGCTCTCAGCTCCCATTGAGTCAAGTTTCTCACACTTCCATATTTGTGCATGCTTGAACATGGTTGGACAAAGGTAGAGAAAGAATAATAGGTGATAGAGATATGGAGAAGCTGAAGCATGAGGCTGATAAATCACACCTGTGCACGACTGGATGCCACACAATAGAGTACAAAGGAGGACCAAGAGTATGTGAGCCAAGGTTTAATACCTGCAGCCAATGTATGTAAATTTATATATAAATGTATGCATTATGTGTTAATCCATACTAAATTTTAGTAAAGTTCATTTCATTGTTTTTCTTGAGTAAATATAAATTGTAAATAGAAATCCTAATATTTTCTTCCTACAGCCCAATGAATGGTCTTGCATGTTTGATCCATGCCCAGATTGTACATAGCCTACTCTGGAGACCTCTTATTTAGACTATAGTACATTCTCTTTCCATGATTTTGAAGAAGTTTATTCTAGCTGCTCCAAGTAAGAAAGCTAACAATGGAAAAAAAATAGAAACAAAAAGTCCAGTTAAGAAGCTCAATTAAATTAAACCACTGACTTCTTTCCTCATTTGGAAGCAGTTGCAATTAATTCTGTTTCTCTACTCAAAAATAACACGGGTTTTTTTTTGTTTGTTTTTTTGTTTTTTAAGGGAGCATGACCTAGTACAGTGGTTCTCAACTTTGAGCATGCATAAGAATCACCTGTGAAAAGTGATTATAAGACCAGTGAAAATACAGATTGCTAGGCCCAAACCTAAAGTTTCTAATTCAGTAGGTCTGGGGTGAAGCCTGATAATTTATATTTCCAACAAGTTCCCAGGAGATGCACATTCTGTTGGTCAGTTGGTGTTAGGAAACCACACCTAACACCTGTGGTGTTTTGGAAACCCCTGGCCTAGCAGAAAGTGTATGGGCTTTGGCCTCAGATAGGCCTAGGTTTAAACCACATCTCTACCATATGCTATTATGAGTATCTCTGAGTATCAGCTGTAAAATGAGAATAATCCTCACTGCAAAGGGCTGTTTTAAGAATAAGAAAGGAGTGAAACATTTGCAAAGTTCTCAGTGTAGGGTTGGGCACACAATTATCATCAATAAAAATAAAAGCGCCGAGATCTTGGATTATTTTAGCAAACTGTTTTAGAGTAACAAGAAGCAATATAACAAAATCTGGCAGAAAACGAGTCTTCAAGACAGGTGTGGTATTTTTGTTTGTTTGTTTGTTGTTTTTGAAAAATTGAGGGTAATACAGAAATGGCACTAAAATTTTGGTTTCCATAATCAGTTAAGGATTGTGCTATAATTATTCCTGTCTCTAGTTTCTTTTTCTCACTTCCTGACTCACCCTAGTCTTTGTTCTGCTGTTAACATTTTTCACAGCAGTGTGTCAAGGAGAGAAAGAGGTGGCTTCATAGGCCCGAACACCAGCACAGAGGAAAGGGTCCAGCATTGGGTGGGCACAAGAGTTTCCAGGGGGTGAAAAACCTCTGTTGATCTCTCCCTTGCCTTTTACAAAAATGAGATTTTTAAAAATCTGCCAAATGTCTTAGGGAGCGCTAGGTAAATGTTCTGAGTTTTAGAGTATGAAAATATTTCAGATTGTCCAGTCTTTTGGCAATATCTTCAACTCTACATTTTATTTAAAATGTGTATATTCATCTTACAATTATTTTTACCATGTTGACTTGCTCATCTATAAATGTATGCGGCTTAAGTAGTAGTTTAAATGTAAATTTTAATGAATGCTATGAATCAGTGCCTAATTTGCACATTTTGTTAATTACCTGTGGTTTGGGATAATCCATCCAAGATGTTCCCTATTACCCTGGGTAATTAAGAGTTGACCTATTTTCAAATTTTTGCGGCTCAAATAGAATGAATTCCAGTCAATTTTCTTTCTTAATAGAAAAACCATCATTTATTTAAATAGTCCATCAGCCATAATTGGAATATGAAATATTGGGATGAAAATTGACTTTCAAAGGTCATAGAGTCCATCCTCCTACCTCTGGGTAGACTGTCAAACCAGCCAGCAAATATATTCCATCTTTTACAGCTTATTTGTAAAATGTAGCCAAGAATGTGCACCAGCCAGAGGAGCAACCTGTTTCTCCCTCCTAACCATCTGAGTCCTTGCCCTAAAGAAAGGTCAATCAGGCAGTTACCAATATTTGCCGAAATAAACGTGTGTGCAAATACACACAGACACTGTATCCACATTCCCTCACACAGAGGCATGACAATGAAGTTTCACACAGCATGGGTGTACTCCCCCTCAACATTCTCTTCCTTGGGTGTGAATCGTGCTCTTTTTATGCCTAAAGAAGGATCAGGCATTTCCTTGTGAGATTTTTCCCCCACTCAAAAAAAAAAAAAGCTGACTTTAAATTGTGGGCCATATTCCACATTTACAATATCCAGGGATAGCTTTGCTATAGACACTTCCCTGTGTGGGAATGGTAAATTTTTTTTCCAACATATTATGCACTTGTCTCTTTTTGTTAAGGACCCTAGATGCACAATGGACCAACGGTTATTCAATGACTTCTCCCAGGTCTTCTCTAGGCTGTTATGTCCATTTCTGAACCACTGTACCCCTTGAGTTTTCTTACAAACCTCTTGCAACCCTTCATCCTGGAATTTCTGTGACATTATTTACCTCACCCTGTCCATTGCCAGGCAAACCAAATAGCAAGTTCACTTTCTAGAATGTAGAGGCCTTCTCTTGCCCATCTTCCATTAGAGCCAACAACACCTACTTGTCATCTTCTCTCTGCTTGGACTTCCCACTCTCAAAGACCGGCATTGGCCTCAGCCTTTGACTTGATATGAAACTGCATACTGAGTGCTGGCACAGAAAGCCTGCCCTTCAGTTCCCCTGCCTGAATCCTGCTCTTCTCACCCAAAACTTAATCTACCCACAGTCTTACCTACCTCGGTTGATTAAAAACTCCTACTTGCCAGTTGCTTAAGCCAGGAATCTCAAAGTCATCCTTGATTCCTCTCTTTCTCTCACATCACGTATCCAACTTATACTCTCAAAATACTGAATAATTTTTGACTGGGTATGATGGCTCACACTTTGGGTTTACAAAGTATAATCCCAGCACTTTGGGAGGCTGAGGCAGGAGGATCCCTTGAGCTCAGGGTTTCAAGACCACCCTAGGCAATATAAAAATACCCCTTCTTAAAAAAAAAAAAAAAAAAAAACTGACAAATTAGCTGATTAGCAGGGCGTGGTGGTACATGCCTATAGTCCCAGTTACTCAGGAGCCT